TGATCTAGATGGCTGCTTCTTGTTTATCTTTAAGCCTTTATGACCCCAGATGCTGTATCTTTTAATAGCAGGGCACCATCAGGTTTCTTCTCCACATTTGCTTATGCAGTCATTTTGTCTTCAGCAATCGTGTTGGGAAGGTGAGCATCACAGAATGCCGGATTGTTAGAAAAAAGTGTTCTTCCACCCCTACACTCTTAATCAAATTGACACCAGATTATGTAACTACCACAGTAACCATTGGTTTCTTCTTCTTCTTCTTTTTTTTTTTTAGTAATTTTCTTGATATAAAATTCACATGTTCATTGTCAATGAAATACAATCCCACAGTTTAGTTGCTTTTAAAAAGAGTTGTATATACATCATCACAATCAGTTTTAATGCTCCCTTCCCACTCCTTCATTCATTGTTTGATCCTCAATTCTCTTCACTCTCCCCACCCTCACCCCCAGTCCCCAATAAACTCCATGCATTCACTCCTTCTGTGCTTCATAAACTGGGAAACCTAACACAAGCAATAATAAAAACAAAATGAAACAGAAATAAAATAATAATAATATAAAGATAAAAATAAAGATTAAGAAAGAAAATACTACCAGCAGTATTTCAAAAAGCCAGAGAAGACATTTCTTTCTTGGAACAAGCTAGAAATATTTAAGCCTAGAGAAAATTCAAGTTGGGTTAAGAGGGCGGTCAACAGGTTGTACCTTGATTTGATTCACCATGATCAAGTTTACAATCATCTCTGTTTCCTAGTAAAGCTGATCAAATCTCTCACCTGTGGCCAGCTGGAGCCTTGTTTCGGGCTAGAGCAGTGGTTCTCAACCTTCCTAATGCCATGACCCTTTAATACAGTTCCTCACGTTGTGGTGACCCCCAACCATAAAATGATTTTTGTTGCTACTTTGTAACTGTAATTACAAATTACAGTTTGGATGGGATGACACAAATAAGGCACTTCTGGACCACCAAGGTGATTGGACAGCTTGCTAATAATGCAAGTAAGGTACATGACATCTTTGTGAGGATAGGGCGATGCAAATACATTTATAAAACCCTAATAAGGGGATTGATCAGTTTTGCCATCCTGCTAGGTTTAAAAGAGCCAGTTCTAGAGCAGAGAGGGGCCTTCAAGACCATCAAGAAAGAAGCACTGGGAATAGAACCCATCATTTGGATGTGGGGTCCCTGTGTTGAGAGCCTACTAGACTGAAGATAGAACTATAACACCAGAGAGCCAGCGAGAGATGGTAAAAGTGGTGACAAAGAAATAGCAGCAACAGAGCCAGCAGAGCCAGCAGTCAGGTGTGGTGAGGATACCAAACCACAAAGCAGGAGAGCTGAGAGCCTACAGGAGGAGGCATGCAGGTGTAGATGGGTATCTCTGCTCTAGGCACTTGATGGCCGAGTCTGAAGAGTTTTGTAATACTTGCTCAAGCAAGATAAAGGCCAGCCTGGGGAGCTGAGGGCCAGGTAGAGAGACCTGACTGCACACAGTTGAAACAGGCTGTTCTGATCAAAGAACTGCATCATGAATGTTCCTGAGCCCGAATTGCAACCTGTTACTTCCCTAATAAACCCCATAACTATGAGTATGGGCTGTGAGTTCTGCACGACCATTGCAGTGAATTATCGAACCCAGTGGGGGAGACAGTGCATGGGCGGGATGAGTGGGCTTGGACGTGGGAAAAGAGTTGGAGAGTTGAGACATAACCGACCTCCATCCCATTGGAATCCACCTTGGGCTGTTGACCTTGATTCTCCTTCCCCCTGGTGGAGGTAGAGGGAGGTGCCTCTCTGATACCGTTCCTGTAGCAATGAAGAAACAGGCTTCACCCTTTTCCACAGGCAAGCAGCAAGAGAATGGCAAAGTCAGGATTTGAACTCAGGCCTTCCCACCACACGCACAGCCTCCTTTTCCTCTCTGTCTCAGCCTAGCTTAAACGAAGACAAAATGCACCAAGCTGTAAGGATTGAACAAGCTACTTTACCACGGGCACGTAGCAGGTGCTGGCTTAAGATTGTGTTTTCCCTTTCCCTACCTTGGTCCACAGAGGATGTGCATCCGGCGGGAAGTCCTCCTGGATGCCCTCTCTAGACCAAAGTGGCCAGCCCTCAGTGCACTGCCAGACGCCCACATGTAGCTCTAGCTGTGGAGATGGTGGGGCGTTCCATCTGAGTGCCCAGCACAGAGGACAGATCAGCACGTACTAAACATGGAATGATGGCAAGGACATACAGGTTGGTGGAAGAATGCAGGGGAGGAAGGGTAGATGGGTGGATGAAGGGAAGAAGCAAGAACAGAATAGATGGGTGGAAGTGTGGAGGGGGAGGGAGGGGTAGAGGCACATGGTGGGTGAATGGACAGTTGAGTGAATAGACAGGTAGGAGGATGGGCGGAGAAAGAAATGGACGGCAGAAGAAGATGGTGGGCAGATGGGTACGAAGAAGGGAGGGAGTGGGGAAAAGAGAGAGCAGTGTGGAAGACTGGGTGGACGTGCAGACAAGGACCGAAAGCAGCAACCGTTTGTTGAAGACCTAAGACGACGGTGCAAGCCGAGCAGAGCTGGACTCCGGGCCTGTGCGTCCTCGCATCCCACTACCGCGGGATGGACTTGGGATCCGCCTGGCGGCTGGAGGTGTCCAGCGCCGGTAGGGAGCGGCAGCCGAGGTAGGCGGGGCAGCTCTGCTAGGCCCCGCCCCGAGGAGGCGTGGCCTCTGGGTGCCCGGCTCCAAGCCGAGAAGGCGCTGCGCCCCGCTGGGAGCGCGCAGCACCGCGGGAGCCCCGGCCAGGTGAGCGCAGCCCTCGGCACCGGCGGGGACGCGGGGACAGGAGGCGCGGGGTGGGCGGCACTGGGGAGGACCAGCCCTGGAGCTGCCCGGGTTTGGGCAGCCCCCCTGGGTGGGAAGTTGAGGCCAGGACGCTCCTTCTCGCCCCGCGCAGGACGGGCGCGCCCTGGACCGGTCCGGCGAAGTCTCTGGCATCCTTTTGGCCCTTCCTCCCCCCCAAACCCCACTTTGGGGTCGCCATCGCCCTGTATTCTTGGTCTGGCCCAGCCATGTACTGTGACTATCAAGGTTACGGGATGATCTCAGTGCCTCAGTTTCCACCTATGGATGATGGGGACAGTGGCCCCTACTTCAGGGCCCCGCCAGGAGAATTCAGTGTGGCCTTGTTCCCGGGGCAGCCCGCTTTGCTGGGCGCACAGCACCCTCGGGTCCTACCACCTCTCAATGGTTTCATTCAGTCAACCCAGAGCCATTTCCCGCCGCCGGCTTCTCTGGGTCAGGCTGTGTTCTAGATGCTGCTCCGTGGCCCACAGGGAGCCAAGCCCTGGGAGCTTGCATTACAGTGAAGTGCAAAGGGCTTGTGACATCGGCTCTCTCAAGAAAGCGCCATAGGTCTGCAGAGCAATTATTTGGGACCATTTTACAGCTGTGAATACTTAGGTCCAGTGAGGTTTTTAAGGTTATTGCCCAAGAGTACACTCCAGCAAATGGGCAGTCAAGGCCAAGACCCAGCCATAGTCCCATAGGGATAGATGCGCCTCCGCTCCTATAAAGACTGCCAGTCTCAGGAACTCTTTGTAGGATTGCTGAGTGGAAATCCGCTGAAAGCAGTGGGTTTCTGCTTTATAGATATAAAGATAGGATTTGACCTTCCCAAGAACAGGGTGCTGTGGACTCAGAGAGAAAAGTGTCCCACCCTGGGGCTGTGCCCACCTAGGAGGGAATTAGATGCCCCTGTGGTGGGCTGGGATCCTCATGGTCAGCAGTTCAAAACCACCAGCAGCTCCTCAGGAGAAAGACTGGGCTTTCTGCTCCTGTCAACAGTTACAGTCTTGGAAACCCACAGGGGGTCGCTGTGAGTCGGCATTGGCTGGATGGTAGTGAGTTTGAGAGTGAGAGCTGCCAGCCACTCTGAGGAGACATTAGACTTCTGTTTCTGCAGAGATGGAAGACTTGTAAACCCTGTGGGACAGTCCTCCTTCCTTCCCCCGGGTTGCTATGAGTCAGAATCAACTCAGTGGTAGTAGGTTTTTGTTTGGCCTCCTAGGGGACAGGGCCCCTGTCCTTTGATCGTCACCAGCAACAACCTTGGGATTGTTGTCAGCTAGTCACTTGGTCACTCATGAAACATCTGTTTGTTGATATTAGTGGACACCATAGATACAGAGACTTGCCTGTCTATATTCGTGGGGCCCAGCACACAGTAGGCCTTCAGCATATAGTTGTTGTTATTAAGGGAGGTGACGATGATGACCAATCTATGGTCCAGCCTTCTCCTCCGATGGGATCAGGGAGTGGAGGCAGATGGTGGTGACCATGACTGACATCTGACTTAATTTAAATCCAGGGTGAGGAGGATGAGCAACTCAGGGAGCTGGCCCAAGGTCATGTGCATGGCCATGGCATCTGCAGAGCTCCCCACTGGTCCCTTGGGCACCTGGGAGAACCAGAGGCAGCAGGTGTCGGCGCTGGGCAGAGGAATCATGCACAGAGCCCATCCTCCTTTTCCTCTAGGTCCTAGAGTCTAGGAAGTCACCCCCACCCTCCTCAGCCCCCCACCACTCCCATCCCCCCACCCGCCCCAAGTTCAGAAAACACTCACCTTCCAGCCTGGTAAGGTTCCCTTAGCATGATTTAATCTGTCCTCCACTGGTTCCCACAAGGGAACTGAAGATGTTAAGGAACTTATAGGGAAGTTAAGAACTCTTGGTATGGGGCTCAGCCAGGCAGTGAGGCTGTGGACCTCAGTTTCCACCGCGGTCAAATCCAGGGCACTGGTTCTGGCTCTCTCTGAGAGAGACCAGATAGCCCAGAGAAAAACAACCATCTTAAAGGTTCTCAAGATTCTGAAAGGGGCCAGTTCACGGGGAACTTGGGGCGGGGGTGTCTCTAATTTCTACCTCAGCCCCTAAGAGTCTGGTAATCCACATGAGTTGAGACGACTCTAAAACACCCTTTCTTCTCTTTTGCCCCACAGGTGGACAAATCCAGGACCCCTGGGAGCAGTAGAAGATGAAGCCCAACCCTGCAGGCTCCTCCCCAGAGGCTTGCAAAGCCCCTGACCAGGGCGATAAGAGCTGCCCCGTCTGCCAGGCCTGGGGTGGGGTCTCAGGCCCAGGGTTTGACTTAGGGTCCGCAGCAGGACCCAGGGTAGGGACTGGTACAGCGCCGGGTCCTGAATTGGGGCCTGGCGCTGTTTCAGGGCCTAGGCCAGGGCCGAGTATAGGGCCAGCATCTGGGCCCAGGCCTAGTGCAGTCAAAGGGTCTGGGCTGGGATCTGCTGTAGTTCCTGGACCTCGGTCAGGGCCTGGGGCAATTTCAGGGCTTGGACCAAGGCCAGATTTGGTGCCAGAGTCTGGGTCAGGTTTGGGTGCTGTCCTGGGGCATAGGCCTGGACCTGGTACTGTCCCAGCATCTGGCCTGGAGCCTGATAAAGTCCCAGGGTCTGGGTCTGGGTCGGTTCCAAATACTATTGTGGGGTCTGGGGCTGGTGGTACCCCAGGGTCTGTCCCAGGCCCAAGTGCTACTGCAGGGTCTGGGCCTCAGACTGGTACTGTGCCAGGGTCCGGGTCAGGGCCCAAGGGAGTGGGGTCTGAGCCTGGTGGCCCAGGACCCGGCCCAAAGCCCAGTGCTGTTGTGAGCTCTGAACCTGGAGGTGCCCCAGGATCTATCCTGGGGCCCGGTGCCATTGCAGGGCCTGGGCCTCAGACTGGTACAGTGCCAGGGTCTGGACTTGGACCTGGTACTGTTCCAGAATCTAGACTGGGGGTTGGTACGGTTTTGGGGCCTAGGCTAGGTCTGGGGCCTGCACCAGGAGCTGGGTCAGCACTTGGGTCAGCAACTGCACCAATACTTGAGTCAGGGCCAGGGCCCAAACAGGGGTCCACGGGTGAGCCCAAACCCAGCGAGCCAAGGGCAGCCCCCACCCCAGCACCGAAGCAGAAGACTCAAGCCAAAGCTGCCCTGTCGTCCAGTCAGAAGGTTCTGGTGACTGGAGGAGGAGGCTATCTGGGCTTCAGCCTGGGTTCCAGCCTGGCCCGGAGCGGTACCTCTGTCATCCTGCTCGACCTCCGTAGACCTCAGTGGCAGCTGCCTCCAGGGACCCAGTTCATCCAGGTTTAGGGACAAGGGGGTTGGGAGAACTGGGGGGGACACCCAGGCTGTTGTGGGGGAGGAGGTCAGTGTCAGGTCAAAGCAGCAGTGTGTGTGTTAAAGCCCAGACTCTAGCTTCACACTGCTGGGCGCAGACCCCAGCTCCCGTAGTGCCCATCTGTGCAGCCCTGGCCATAGACTCCACCTCCCAGAGCCCAGTGACCTCACCCATAGAAAGGGGAGAGTTATAGCAATAATAATAGTATCCACTGCATGAGGGTCTCATACCACGTTAACGAGATAATGCGTGTAAACACCTAGCGTAACCCTGTCACTTAGAGAGCTTACTAAGTGGCGGCAGAGCCGGCTGCTACTGGCAATATGTATTGAATCCTACAGTGGTCCCTACCCACCAGTCTTTCTTGACCCTAGGCATGCTTAGCCTGGGAGAGGGCAGGGCTCTAGGATGGAGCTGAATGCAGAGATGATACCTCTGTTTGTCTTGGACTTGAACGTCGTGCTTCACCTGTTGCCGGTTGCAGGCTGATGTCCGAAATGAAGAAGCCCTCCACCACGCATTCGAAGGGGTGGACTGTGTCTTCCACGTAGCCTCCTATGGAATGTCCGGTGCTGAGAAGGTAAGCTTCTCACCCACGATACTTGGAGTTAGACAAAATGGGGTTCAGATCCTAGCTCTGCCTCTCCCCCACCCCTGCCCCTACCCCCACACCCCTGTTTCCATGCTGATGCTTCACTGGCTGGGGAGGATTTTCAGCTACTCCCAGCCTGCATGTGTGTAGCTGTGCGACTTAGGGCAAGGTAACGTAACTCTCTGAACCTCAGTTTCCTCATCTGTGAAGTGGAGACATTATTCCTGCTTGTCTTAACTTTTTCAAAAGACAGTGTGATTATCTTTCAAATTTTAAATTCGCACGTATCCTATGAGCAGAAATTGCTTCTATATTTGAAGCATTGCCTTGCTTTGTTTGTATTGAAAGAATAAGAAAAGGTTTTACTTTTTTTTTTTCACTTTCATGTATTCTGTCTTGAATACTCCTTTCTTTGGGGATCTACTTCTTTGCTTTAGCTAGTACTTCCCAAAGTGGGCAATACCATCCCCTGGGGGCACTGGAACTATCTGAGGGGCTGCAAAAGCAGATGTTGTTGTTATTGTTGTTGTTGTCAGGTTCCAATCCATAGTGACCCTATGTCCATTAGAACAAAGTGCTCCCCAGTCCGGATCCATCCTCACAATGAGGCCCATGCTTGAGCAAATCATTGCAGCCATTGGGTTCAGCCATCTCCTGGAGGGCCTTCCTGGTTTTCGCTGCCCCTCCACGCCCAAACATGATGTCCTTCTCCAGGGACTGGACTCTCCTGACCACATGTCCAAAGTATGTGAGATGAAGTCTCACCATCCTTACCTCTGGCCGTAGTCTGGAAGCTCCACGGAAACCTGTGCACTCTGAGTGACCCCAGTGACATGTCTTTCAGCATCACAGCAACCCACAAACCACCCCAGTCCGGCACAGGGGCAGTCAAGGGTAGTGGTGGGAAAGCAGATCCCTGCACTTTGGAAGAAGGAAGGCCAGCACCCTCCTTGAATGCAAGGACGGAGAGACTTCATCTCACACACTTTGGACATGGCAGGAGAGACCTGTCCCTGGAGAAGGACATCAGGTTTGGTAAAGTGGAGGGGCAGTGACAAAGAGGAAGGCCCGTAAGGAGATGGTGGACACAGTGGCTACAACACTGGGCTCTGACATGGGAACCGCTGTGAGGATGGCGCAGAACCAGGCAGTGTTTCATTCTGTTGTGAATAAGGTCATTAGGTATAAACTGCCTAACCACAACACCACTTTATCCTGGATTATGGGCTATCGTACAAAAGTTTTTCATGGCCAGGGGACACTGAGTCTTCTTTTTTTTTTTTTTTCTGAAAGGGAGATGGTAGGCCTACTGAGTTTGGGGCCCTCTGCCCTATATCATTGTTTGTGTCTCTGGAGAACAGCTTTTGACTTTATATATAGAGAGAGAGAGAGAGAGAGAGAGAGAGAGAGAGAGAGAGAACAGCTTTTGACTATATATATATATTATGATTGTATTGTGTTTGGGGTGGAAGCTTACCCTGCCGTGTAGGCTCCCATTGACCAATTTCTCTGCACGGCCATTAGTGACACTGATAGTCTCTTGACTTTCACGCCAGTGGTCCCTGCAATATCGTTCCTAGTAGCACAAGGCCAGCCGCAGCCTACACGCCCATCCGCTGGGGAGTCTGCGCGTCCCTGGCGCTGTGGGTGCGCAGTGAAATTCTAGGCAGTCACTCAGAAGAACAGCGTAACTCGATAGGCGTTGATCTGGAGCGATTTCCAAGGTGCAGAACAGAGTTTGGTGTCGTCCTCCTGTTTGTTTAAAAAAGAGCTCAGGTGAACGTGTCCGGATACACTCACACATGCACCTGCACTGACATGAGAAGTGCCCGGGTGAGATTGTGCACATCCACCCACCCATACACGTGTGCTGCTCCGAATAGGCCGTGGGGTTCTTGCCAAGGAAAGAGTAGGCACTGGACGCGGTGGCTGCCTCCAGGCCAGGAAAGGAAGACTTACAAAACTTGCTGTGCCCTGTATCACTCTTTGGTTGTTTGACTTCTTTTTAACCTAGTGATTGTCTTACCTACCTCAAACAAAAACACCTGTAGCCAGAGCAAGTGTAGTTTAAAGATCAACAGACTCGTACTTGAGGGGCTGTTGTGAAAGAACCCTTGGTGGAGTCGTGGGTGACGCATTGGGCTGCTAACCTCAAGGTCAGTGGTTTGAAATCACCAGCCACTCCGTCGGAGAAGATGAAGCTTTCTCCACTCATAGTTAAAGCCTCAGAAAAAAGTCGCAGGGGAAGTTCTCCCCTGCCCTACAGGGTCATTAGGAACCGAATCCCCGTGGATGGCTGTGAGACCTGAGAGGGCTGTTGTGAGCATTGACTGAGACTGGGGTGTCCAGGCTCAGCCCAGCCCACGCACACCAGAAGCACTTGCTGAAGAGCAATTGTTTTAGGTTTTCAGCACTAAAGGCTAAGGCCCCAGAAGTATTACTACACCCATCTTACAGATGAGACAACTGAGACGTGATCATAGGTCAGGCACAGTATTTAAGTCTTCAGGCTCATTCTGCCTGACCGTGAAGGTTTACATTTACAGGTTAGGGAGATGAGGGGCCAATGGGTGGGGAGGGGCAGTGGTCTCCCTAGGCCACCAGGAAGAAGATGGCAGAACTGGACACTGAAGCCCTGGGCTCCCATCCTGTGCTACCCTGCAGCCCCTTAGTCAGTCTTTCTGTGCCTACCATCCTGCCCCGACCCCCAGCACAGCCCTGAGTCTCCCCCTTGACTTTCCTGCCTCTGCCTTGTCTTTTAGCTGCAAAAAGAGCAAATAGAGTCTATAAATGTTGGAGGCACCAAGCTAGTGATTGATGGTAGGCACTCAAGAGTTACCTACCGTGTGGTGTGCTGTGTCTCTCCCTCTCTCACTTGCTCGCTCAAGCCATAGGCCTACCTCCTGGGGCCAGGCGATGGGGTAGAGGTAGGACCCTCTCCCCCACTATTGCTCTCCCAGGGGAAGGCCTGTGGGCCAGCACATGCTCCCCAACCACAGACCTGCCCGGGGCCTTGCAGGGGCCAGTCAGCATTGGCATGGAGGGCAGAGTTTGGGAGGAAGAGCAAGTTACCAAAGGGCTATAAGGAAGGCCAGGTCAACTCTCTGGGCTCCACCGGCCTTCTCCCTCTCTTTGCTTTCTCTCTGATTCTAGCATGCCTTTTTGCTATGTGACCCCCTAGAGTGAGACTCTCTCCTGTCCTGTCTTTGGCAAGGTAGCTCTGGGGTCGCAAAGCACAAGTGAGCAGGCCTGGGGCTCAGGGGCTCAAGGAGCAGGGCCATGATCGAAACCCTAAGTTCGGGCAGACAGGCCCTTCCCCCCTGAGCAACTCTGCATGGTGGGCTTTCCCAGGGCTTGTGTTACGTTGAAGATGGGTGGGTTTGCCATTGGGAGGCTCCCTGGGGACCCCTGGGCTTACTGTTGGCCCTGTGTGTGTTTTGTTTGCACGTGTGTGCGGTGCTGTGTGCCGCGGCAGCCTGTGTCCACCGGCGCGTTCCAAGGCTCGTCTACACCAGCACTGTCAATGTTGCCTTCGGTGGGAAGCCCATAGAGCAGGGTGATGAGGACTCCGTGCCATTTTTCCCGCTGGAGAAGGTACTCGCTGCCAGGAGAGGCAGGTGGGGGCAACCCAAAGCCCAGAGGGGAGGAATGGGTGGAACCAGGGGTGGTCGGGTCAGCCTCACAATCAGGGTGAGTTCTAGGAAAAAGGGTCCCCCAACCCTGGGTGGCATGAGGCGCTCCAATTTTAGCTAGTGTGCCAGCATGGCTTTGGAATCAGCTGGACCACTTGCTACCTGTGTGAGCCTGAGCAAAGGATTGAACCACTCTGAGCCTCTGTTTCTTCATCTGAGCATGATACCACCATCTCTCTCGGGTTGTGGGGATCAGGAAATGAGATAAAGTCCTTGCGAGCAGCACAGGAATACAAAACATTACAGAGCAGCCCACCACATGCCCAGATTCCCCACCGCCAGACAGGCACTTGGAGCTGGCAGAGACCTCCCTGAAAGAAAGGAGTCCTTCCTACCTCTCTCACTGCTCTGGACCCTGCACACCCGCCCTTTCACAGCTCAGGAGGAGAAGGGGTGCTAGGGCTCAGGGCGGAGGAGTCCCCACAGAATCCAACCCTGGTGTGCTTTGAAGCCAAGATGAGCCTGGGGCCAGAGCAACGGGGCAGTGAGCCCTTTCCAGTGGCTCTGTTCCCTTGTCCACTTGACAGCATATGGACCACTATTCCCGAACCAAAGCCATCGCTGACCAGTTGACACTGATGGCCAATGGGACACCGCTTCCAGGTGAGTGGAATGGGGCCGAATCCACGTGCCTCGCCCCAAAGCCCTAGGCAAGTCTAGTTTGAGATCCTTTCTAAGGCCCACGTCTCTGCTGAGGTTCACCATAGACTGGGCCATTCACCATGGAACAGATCTGAGCCCCTGATAGGTGCCAGCCACCCTGGCAAGAGTCAGGTCCAGTCTGTCCTCCTGCTGCTCCAAGCCTGGGGAGAGAAGGTGGGCCCGGAGGGGGCTGGGGGAAGACTAGACATGACAGTGTGATTGGGGGAGAGCAGGGCCGTGGGGGCTCCTGCCCTGGCCGACCGGCAAAGATATGCTGCGGCCGGCCAAATGGAAAAACCATTGTAGGTGAAGGGTGGAGGAAGGAAAAGGATGTCTGGCGGCAGGCACTGCAGGGGCAGGGGCCCAGAGGCAGCAAGGGGACCATTGTCAGAAGGAAGGTACACAGGCTCATGAAGAGCCTTGTGAGCTGTGTCATGATGCCGGGGCTTTATTGGGAGCCATTGATGTTTGGCTCTAAGCAGGGGGATGGTAGGGAGATGTGTGTTTTAGAAAGCTCCCTCTGGCCACCGTGCTGGGGCCGGGTTAGAGGATCAGAGGGAGGATTCTAGTAAAGAGGTGATTGCCAAAGCCAGCCAAGAGGCAGCCATGGCCCTGCACTGTTGGTAGCAGTGTGCATGAAAGGGCAGGCTGAATTCAAGAGCTATTTGGGAGGCTCGGTTGACCAGAGCTTTGGAGCAAGACTGGCGGGACCTGTCTGAGCATTCATGTGGGTTTTGCTGACCCCTGTCTGGTGACACAGGTGGTACTGCAGGTACTGGCCCTTTTACCCACATGTGGAGCTCTCTGTACTCAGCCCAGCTCCTCCAAGCTGCCCTTGCAGCTCTGTGGGGTGAAAGGGGCTGGGGGCAGGAGAGCAGTACTCTGACAGCCACTCTATAGGGGAGGACACTGAAGCTCAGAGGGTGACCCCAGGCTAGCTCTCTTTTCTGCAAAAGCAACCCAAATCCACTACTACTGAGTCGATTCGGATTCAGAGTGACCCTGTAGGATAGAGGAGAACTCTCCCCTTAGGGTTTCCAAGGCTGTGAATCTTTACAGAGGCCGACAGCCTCAACTTTCTCCCGTGGAGCAGTTGGTGGGTTTGAACCACCAACCTTGCGGTTAGCAACCCATATTTAACTCACTGCACCACCAAAGATCTTTTCTGCCACCAGAAGTATATTCAAATTTAAGCACCTTGTTGACATATGAGGCGTTGGAATTAGCTTGACAAGCAGTGAGTTTAGGGAATTTGGTGTTATTTATATACCAATTTATGAATCATGAATATGGAATAAGGTACTCTACAGAGCTCTGGAAGGGTTCATGCAAGCGAGGGGCCCTAACCCTTCACCTTTCTTAACTTTCCAGAAAAGTCTGCCTAGGCTGCCTGGCTGCACTGCCTCTTCTGGTAGCAGCAAAGCAGTAGAGGGGGGCCTGTGTGTGCCACCAGTGGCTGGGCCAGCCTGGTTTTACCGGGTCTCATAAAGTTTCCATCTTTGACAGGGTGCAGTCTTACCACGTTGCCATCACTGACTTAAGTGGATTTTTCTTTTGCATCTTCCTTCTCTGACAGATTTGCACCAACCACAGGTTCTGGCTTCCACAGATTTTAATATCTGAGGGAACTTTTTAATGTTTGTGAGAAAAATGCCGTTATCGTTTCATTCCATTTTTCCACGGACTTTTTGAAGCCCCTTGGTACTAGAATATGAACATGGCGACAGAACAAAGTGGTTCTCGTTCAACCTTACACGGCTTTTGTTTTGTGACGTTGACTGAAATTCCCACAAAGTGACAGCACTCATCCCATTTCCCATTTCCATTCACTGTCGCTTCTTCATGCCTGTCACTTCCTGCCAGCTGAGCTGGATCCCGGCAAACACCCCTTTCGATTGTTCTAAGTGCAGATCCTACTTTTACTTGCAGACTTCTCCGTCACTCCTCACAACAGCCCTGTGAGGTGGGAGCCTGAGCTATCCCTTTGTCCTAACAGGACCCAAACAGATTCAGATAAATCCTCAGCTAGACAAAAGATAGCGGCTTTCTGAACTTCAGAAAGAGAAAAGAAATCAGAGAACTTGGTTTTGCTTATCATCTAAACTCAGGAACCAAATGGACTGTTCTGGAGCTCAAGGGACACTTGAGATTAGAACCTCCAACTTGCAGGTGAGAAAACTGAGGCTCAAGGTGACACAGCTGCTAGATGGCAGAAGTGGGATTTGCCCCCCCCCCCCACACACACACACACACACACACACACACACACACACACACACACACACACACTGGGGCTCTGAAACCAGGAGCTTGGATTGAACCACAGTGTCACACTGCAGCCCCAGCTGAGCAAAACTCAAGCAAGGGCTCTGTTCCTTGAAGACCCTGGGAAAGTCCAACTGGGTTTCCCCAGGAGTTTGACCTTGGGCAGTTGATTTCTCTTCTCTCCCTAGGGCCTCCCCAGGCTGCACCAGCAGCCTACATGCCAGACACCCAATCCTCCAGATGAGAATTATTTATACGAACACCCCCAGCTTTCCATGGTCAAGAGAGTCATGGATATCCTGGGCCAGCCCCTCGGTGACGTGGCTGCCTACTGCCCCACTGGCCAATGTCACCTGCAACCTGATGCCCTCCCTTCCCCCCTACACACACAGCCAAGTGACCCAGAGTTTAAAATTAGCTGCAAGCTGTTTACAGAAGAGCTCACCTGATACCTGCCTGCCGAGATGTCCAGCCATGGTCACCCCAGGTGATGTCTGCTCCCTATTCCCCAAGCTGGTCCCTTAGGTCCCCTTAACTGTAGCAGAGTCCTGAGAGGTACAGGTCCCAGATCAGTGTAAGCAGGGTGTGTCCCTGCTACCACTGCGTGGATAAGCTTCCTGAAGCTGCCGTAACAAATGACCACAAGCTTAGTGACTTAAAACAACAGAAGTTTATTCTCTCACAGTTCTGGTGGCTAGAAGCAGGGGGAAAAAAAATCAAGTGGCAAGGTCTCACTCCCTCCAAAGTTTCTAGGGGGGAACCCTTCCTTGCCTCTTCCACCTTTTGGTAGCCCCAGGCCTTCTTTGGCTTACAGTTCCATCACGCCTTCATGTGGCCATCTCTTCTCCATCTGTTTCTCCTCTGTACACCTCTTGTCCTTAGACATAGGACTCATTGAGATCAGAATGGTCTCACCTCTAGCTCCCTAATTTAATGATCTATGTAAAGACACCCCCCCTCCAAATAAAGCCATATTCACAGATCTCCGGACAGGGACATATCTTGTGGGAGGGCACCAGTCAACCCACTGCTTTGGGCCTTACTGTAAAACGAGGGTGTTGGAGAATGGAGCAGCCAAGGGGTCTGGTCATGACCAGGAGACACTGGCCCTGGCTAATTTAAGGGGAAAAGGGACTTATGTTGGAAGGATGCAGGCTCAGCCCCAGAAAAATGATCACTGGGCATGGAAAGGACCAAGCAAGAACTGACCCTTGTTTCTTCATGGAGAACCCACTCTCAGGCATTGGCCATAGAGAGTCACCTTCCTGAGTGAGAGCATCTCATTAGCCCAGCTTGGGTCCATGGTCACCACGTCCCTGCAAGACCCCATGCAGAGTGACAGGAGTCCCCCCAAGGAGAATGGGCTGCTGGCCACGGAAGAGAGTCTACAACAAGCTTCCCTAACGGGCACAGCACGTTGGGGAACCCGAGCCTTGAGAGAGAAGATCTTGTTAGCGGCACCCTTTCATTTGAAGGATTGAGGCTGGGGAGCCAATTAACTTGAAAAGTAAGAAATTTTATAACTTTAAAAAATCTTACTTTAAACACGCGTGGATTAGGTGGGAAAACCATAAACTCGTAGACATTCAAAGAAATGTGCTTGTGGCAGCCTGCCTGGACTGTACCCCCAGAGGGGAGATACTGGGAGCCCCTTGGTGGAGAGTTTGAGAAACCCGGGGTTCCACTGGGATTACCAATGGGAGTCTGAGGACCAGATCCCTTGACAATCTTTTCCTTTTTCCATTTATTGTCTGAAAAGCACAGCACTTAACAAAGCACCCGTTTTACAGGTGGGGAAGCCAAGGCTGCGCAGGCTGAAAGACAAGATATACTGCTTGTACTGTGCTCGCAGAAGCAGGAGTGTTAGTGGAAAGGGCCTGGGCCTTGATTCTTTATCCGAGCTCCACCACACAGAGCTGTGTGACCTTAAGCAAGTTACATTCCTTCTCTGAGCCTTGGTTTTCTCATCCCTAAACCAGGTGTAATAGTAGCTCCCACCTCCGCAATGCCTTGGGTGGGGGAAATTCCCAGCTTACCAGACATAGGACCTTTCTGAGAGTGGTCTAACCAGCAGCAGAAAAAGATCAAGCAAGGGCCTGAGGAGTGTGGGTCTGTGAAATGGCCGTGGGGGGTGGGGCAGGGGGAAAAGGTGAAGGCCGCCACATAGGTCAAGTGCTGGGTAAACGTTCAAGGGCTGTGTAGATGATCTTCACCTAGAGCTTACCGTAGCCACTGGCCTAAGAGCATCATGAGGACAGGGACCATTTCTTGGCTGTCCTGGGCATCTTGACAGCATCCATCCTAGGAACCAGGAGAGCCAAACTTGAATAGTGTTTAGTGACTAACAGATTGGCTGGGAAAGTAACTAATTGAATGAGGAAACCCCAAGAGGCAATTCTTCCCCTCCAACCTGCCCAGGTAAGGACAGGAGATGTGGGCCCCCTGTCTCTCCCTCTTCCTCCTGGTCCTGACCACTCTCCCCTGTGTCCTAGGAGGAGGAACTCTACGCACCTGTGTGCTCCGGCCCCCGGGTATCTACGGCCCCGAGGAGCAGAGGCATCTGCCCCGAGTGGTGGTATGTCACCCAGCCTCCTTCGACACTGAGGCATGTTGAGTGCATGCTGACAGGGCCCGCTCAGTTAGGGTCACCAACTGACCATCAGTTACTTCCTCAGCTCCTGAATTCCATCAGTTCATGCCCCTAGGCCCACCAGCATGCTCCCGAGGCCAGCCCTAAGACTTAGCCCAATGCGCCAGAGTTCTTACCAGGTACCAGCCCGGTTAGGCCCAGGTGGGGAGACATGGAATTGTGGCCCCAAAGAGAAAGGGGACTGTGTTCTGCCCTGGGCTGTGCACTCCTTAAGGGAGTGGTTCTCAACCTGTGGGTCATGACCCCTTTGGGGGTCAAACGACCCTTTCACAGTGGTCGCCTAAGACCATCGGAAAATACATATTTCCCATGATCTTAGGAACCGAGACACCACTCCTCTATCCATCTCCAGGTTGGTCCGCCCACATGCAGATACACCCACCTATGAGTACCCAGCGTGAAGACTGTTACCCATGCCACACCATACTTCAAGACAAAATTTCATTTACTTGTCATTAGAAATAAATATTTCACAATCTAGAGTTACATATTGTTTTGTGATTCATCATGATGCTTTCATGATGTTCCATTTGTAACCATGAAAATACATCCTGCCTATCAGATATTTACATGACAGTTCATAACAGTAGCAAAATGACAGTGATGAAGTAGCAACGAAAATAATGTGATGGTTGGGGGTCACCCCAGCATGAGGAAGGTTGAGAACCACTGCCATAAGACTTCATCCCAGGCTGTTAGGACAAGGCTCTTCCTGCAGAAAATCATCGGTAGAGAAGACTGGGTGCCCGGGACATACGGAGGAGGTCTTGGAATTTCTGACAGCCTGGCTGGGGGGCAGATGCCCTAAGCACAGGCACCGCGTGGGGAAGGCTGGGTAGAGAGACTCTTCAGGTGGTAAGAACACAGCAGAAAGGACTTGGAGAGAAGGTCCTGGAGGGCTTCCGGAGGAAGTGACACTGTGTGGAAGGAAAAGGAATTCGCCAAGGAAAGGAGTGGTGGGCAAGAACTCCTCCAACCAGTGGAAACCGCCTAGGCCAAAATCTGAAAGGCTGTGGTGGGTTTTGGAAGCAGCCAGTCTCTGTGCGCATGGGAAGGTTCTGAGCAGGAGAGAGACTTGGTCTCCTTTAGGATCCAAAAAACGGCTCTGCCGCCTGCGGTGCCTAGCACCCACAGCAGGGGGGCAAGCGGGGAAGCAAGGGGCAGCCCGTTAGGCTCTGGCCATCTGGCCTTACTCAGGTAAGAGAGGAGGTGGTTGTGAGGGTGGGGAGGAGTGGATAAAGTGGAGTCCACAGGGTTTGTTGAGGGGTCAAGGCCCGAGATTTGGGATGATGATGATGATGATTTTGCCCTGAGAGGGGGAAGGTGAGGGCTGAGGCGCAGCGTGGGAGAGACCAGGCTTTCCTTCTGGAGGCGGTCAGGAGGAGGCTGTTGGGCCATGCAGCAGAGAGGTCCGCAGGTGTTAACCCGGGATCGGAAGTGATGGAGGAGCCCAGGTGACTGGCTTCGTGGGCACTCTTTGGGTTGAAACCGCCAATCCCTCCCAGGGAGGAAAACGAGGCAGTCTCTTCAACCCCCCGGGGCGTTTCTCCCCTGCCCTATAGGGTCCCTGGCGTCGGATGCACCCACAGGCAGGGAGCTTGGTTTGCTGGGGTGTGTGGGGGAGAGGGGGCTGGTGGAGTGAGAAAGGCGGCAGTCATCCAGAGACAGATGGAAGGTGGGCCACGCCAGGCCGGGGCTTGTGCTGATCGCCCCTCCTCCGCCACCAGAGCCACATCCGGAAGAGGCTGTTCATGTTCCGGTTTGGAGACCGTAGGGCGCAGATGAACTGGGTCCACGTGCACAACCTGGTGCAGGCCCACGTACTAGCGGCGGAGGCGCTCACCGCGGCCAAGGGCTTCGTGGCGGTGAGTCTGTAGGCCTCCACGCACCCAGCTGGGAGCCCACCTGCCTGCCCCTCCAGGATGCTCCCACCCCATCGGCCCCATCGCCTATTCTTAGGACAGCTGCCTGCACTGTCAGCTCAGGGAAGCTGGGGTGTGGGCGCAGCTGTTGACCTGAACATCATGAGTTCATCGTGGTGACCTTGAGGCGGATGGTGTTGACCCTGTAGTAATGGTCCCCAGATGTCCAGCATTGGACGTGTAAAGTCTTACTGAAGCTTCCCAACAGTCCCGGGGTTGGGGGGGGGTATGGGGGGGTAGTGGGGGGATCCCATGATGACCTTCCCATTTGTCAGATGAAGAAAAGAAGATTCAGAGTTAGGTGACTTGATGGAGCTGTGGTGGCACCAGAAATCAACGTAAATTATCCAGCTCCTCCCAGCCAAGGGGGCCAAACCAGGAGGGGGTCAGGGGAGAAAGGGAGTAGCTGCCAGGAACCCCGTGAAAGGGGAGGGGCCTGGCTGGGGTGTGAGTGCTTGACCCTCCTCCCAATGTCCCCTCAGAGCGGGCAGGCATACTACATCAACGATGGAGAGAGTGTCAACCTCTTTGAGTGGATGGCCCCGCTGGTAAGTCCCTAGACTCCTGCCCCCACCCTGAGTGAAAATTCAGGTATCCCTGTGTCTTCTGTCCCTGGCATCTGAGGAAGGTTTGAATGTATAACTTTCCTCTAAAGGCCAAGGGTGGTGTTGGAACTGGCTTGAGCTAGGTGGCAGTTGCCCCTTTGGGGGAACATGGCCTCCTCCTTTGCTGCAGTCCCCACTCTGCCTGCTGTCCCAATTTATGTTGGCTTCTACCAGCAACCAATTGCCTTTGAGCCTACTCAACTCATGGCGACCCCATTGTCCCGTATAACTACACTCCTGAGGGTTTCAATGGCTGATTTTTCCAAAGAAGATTTCCAGATCTTTATTCCCATGTGCCCATGAGTGGATTTGAACCTCCAATCTGTTGGCTAGCAGCTGAGCACATGAAATGTTTGTGCCATGTTGTTGTTGTTGTGTGATGTCAAGGTCATTTCCAACTCATAGCAACCCTATAGGACAGAGCAGAGCGTCCTTAGCATTTCCAAGGTCGTGCTTTTCCCTCAAGTTTATTTATTTTGTTTTGAGAATATACACAGCCAAGCATACACCAATTCAACAATTTCTACGTGTACTATCAAGTGACATCAATTACATCCTTCAGTTGTGCAACACTGTCACCCTCCTTTTCTGAGTTGTTTCTCCCTCATGAACATAAGCTCACTCACCCCTAAGCTTCCTATCTAATCTCTTGAGCATTGTCATTGTATTCTCATATAGATAATTCTTAAGAGACCAAGTTTCTAAGGGAAATAGGTCCATCAAAAAAGGACAAACATGGCACCACTCTTGTAAAAAAATAAGAAAAAGTTTACCACCACCATGCCCCCACCCCAAATAAACCGTAATATTCAAGGCAAACCTGTGTTAATAGTTCAGCTCAATTGTTGGTCCATTTTAAGATGACTTCAGGGGATATTTTTAGTTTAAAGTCTAAAAATTATCTCAGAGCAATAGTTTTAGGGGTTCCAGAAAATCTGGCGTCTATGAGAATGTTAAATCCTTTTTTTATATTTCCCCCTTTTGATCAGGATTCATCTAGGAAATATTTGATCAAAATGTTTCACTGATGTAGCTGGGCACCATCTAGTTTTTCTGGTCTCATGGCAAAAAGACCATGAGACCATACAACTACACATTCCACATGCTCCTCCTATTCCTGATTCTATTTCTTCCTCTGTTGCTCCTGGTGAGTAGAGACCAATTGGTGGATCTTAGATAGCCTCCAGGCACCACATAGTGAGCTGTAACCTTTATTAAAGCAAGTTGAGAGGTCTTTCCTCTCCCAGTTAGCTTAATTATCACGCTACAAGGGCTCCCTGTTGACTTACAGCCCTGTGGAAGTTCTGTTTGTGACCCACCATAGTATGTGTTGAGGTCCTGAAAGAGGAATGTAGAAGGTAAACCATGGCACAAAAGAAAAGTATTTGTTCCTAAGACCTGTTACACTCAGCCCTTTTCAGAACTCTACCTCCTCTCCCAGCAGTGCACTGACACATTCTCCAGGCCACACCTGTTGGAAGAGGTAGACCAGAAATCTTGGGTCTTAGACTTTGATTCTTCAAAGTGGCCTTCTAAGCCATGGTAAGGAGCCAAGTCCACAAAGCAGTTGCCTTTTCTTCCCAGATCTCCCAGTTGCTTAAAAAATGTTATTAAAAGGACAGCTTTGTTAACATATCATTCGCAAGCATACAATTCAATGCTTCTTTTTTATTTGTTTGTTTTTTTTTGTTTTTTTTTTCTTTTTTAACATTTTATTAGGGGCTCATACAACTGTTATCCCAATCCATACACA